GCTTCTGCTGGCGCCACCACACGCCCGGCATGGCGAAAGACAGCACTCCCGAGGCCTCACCAGCGCGGTCGCCTGTCGACGACGAAGACGCGCACGCTACGTTTGAAGCCATCGACCACTCGATTCTAACGGCGCTCTTAGCAGAGACGGATGATGTAGAGTTCCAGAACGACCTCATACTGGAAGCCTACTTTGATGCAATGCTCGAAATTCAAATTTAGGGGCGACAGCAATTATTTAGTGCATGTATTGGCAACTCGTGTGTAAAGTGTACCATTTTTGTTCGTGTCAATGGGTTTTGTGTGAAACTAGACGTTGTGTATGTCGGTATCTACTGGGATGTCTTTGGTTCGCATCGACACAAGTCGTCCTCGGGAAGGCTCGGCTCGTTCTGTGTCGTGGATCCTCGCCGTGCAAATAGCGTTCGTCGCGCACGTCCCTCGCACAGCTACGCAATCTGGCAACAGCGATAGCAAGCTCCATGGCCGCGTGAGAAGCATTTCGTTAAGGGACCGGACGATTCCAAGAAGTGGAAACAGTTTTTGTGCAGAACGACGAGCCAGCGAGAAGGCCGATCGAAGAATCGAAGACAAGTGATCGTGGCCAAGGCACGGACGAGAGCCGTATCTTTTACGTCTGTGGCCTCTCGATGAAAAAATGAAAAGCGTTCCGGACCACGCCACTTCAGAGGCTGGCCGGCGCCATAATGCTCTTGTTGGCCCCAAAACGAGCGTGCTCGGAGTTCGAGAACCGAAATATTGTGACATTGCAGCCCACAACACCACCAACGTTTTCAAAAACGGCTGGTGGGCGCCAAGATTCTCTTGTTGGTCCCCACATTATTGCAAACTCGGTATTTGCAAAGCGAAAAGCTACATGTATGGTGATAACGAAAACAAGCTATGCTTGGTTGATGAGGTGGGGCTGATGGCTTAAATGATGCGGATGCTATAGGATATACTACCTCAAGCTGCTAAATGTAGGGAATCAAGTTTTGTCGACAGGCGCGAAAAGGCCGTCACAACACCCTTGTGCTGTGTTGTGGAACATACTAGTGACAGCGTAAGCTTCGCACTGTGCGCGGACGTGAATGGGTGATATTCAGGATTGGTGCCATGCATCTTGGGATGCGCCATGGTGTCTTAGCGACCTGCTGTCCAACCCAAGCGTTGCGTTACGTGGCGAAATCGTCGAGTTTTAGCCCGATGCCAACGCTCATTGACCCGCGGTCTCTTGTGCGCCATATTCAACCGGCAAACCATGGAATGCGGGGCATTGTATGGTCACGCGGCGAGAGAAGATGCTCAGAACTTGCGCACTTGAGCCCTGCTCAACAGGCGACTGTGCCATCTTTGGGGGGAATTGTGGGTGGAATCCTACTATCCATTGGCCTTTGTCAACACTGATGGGACCCAAATGAGTGGTACCATAATATTAGCTCTCTGGCGGACAAAAGGGGTACCGGTACTTGATCATTGGTACAGATGGTGGTTCGCCGGCGAGTGTCGCCTGTCGTCGTCGAGATGGTGTACCGATAATAACGGACCCAGTACAGTACAGGTCCACACACCTACCTAATGACACAGAGCCGTTGATCCTCTGCGAGGACCTTTGACAAAATGAGTGTTCACTGTTCGTTCGTTCATTCTCCATGTTATTACGAGGATCCTTGTAGACATACGTCATGTTGGCGAGCAACATACCTCTACAATTGCAGCGCTCAATAGTAGTACCTCACAAGCCGAAGCCGAAGTCTGTCGACAAGGTTGACGCGACGCAATTGGTGACGAATTGATGAAGGGTCGACAAAAATTCGTCGGGGGACGCAACGTGCCATCGCTCAAGTGAGGTGTACATCTGGAGACAATGGTTCCCAAAATGTTGACGGACGAGCTCTCTCGATCTCCACAGTCTGCTTGAGGACAACCCAGCAGCACAATGAGTGGCCAGGGCAAAATATTCATGTTCAAAAAAAGAAAAGCCCGACTTTCCAGCACATCACAAGTAACACGCACTTGTGTTATAGTCTCAGAAGGCGCCTGTCTGCAAGGAGACGAAGCCGTGGCACTATTTTCATGTACTAATGCCGTTCCTACTGAACCCACTCATTTGATTGGGTATACTATCGCTTTCAGTTACCCTACAAATGGCTTTTGTGACCTGGGCGGTGCTGTTGGTACCGACTTGACACGCCAGCATCACGGCGGGGGGGCGGGTCAACACGCGCAGCTGCAGCGTGACGATGCCACGTTCTTGAGGCTCTCGCCACCGGAATGGGATTCATGGCCGTTCTTCGAACCCATCTCGTCGCCCTTGACACGCCAATCAATGGTGTGGAGTCGAATCAGTTGGCATCGATGGCTGCTGCGTCATGACCTGATACCCTGTTGTCGATGAAGATTGCTCTATCGCACATCTCCCTGTGGGCTCGTTGCGAGGCGTAACAATCCTTCGCGACGGAGTCTTTCTCTGTCTCTAGATCATAAACTTGCCGGTAGCCCGGAGCTTTCCATTATTTGGATTGTTGCCCTTTCGATGCCACTCGGCGACATCCAGCAGCGTCTTGTTGCATTGCACACGCAAGTTTTTTTCTTTTGGACACTCGTTTGCCTCCTCACGAGGTCACTCGCTTGGTCACGGTTGGCTCTTTTGGTCTTGGTAAACGTAAGGAGCAATACTTGAAGTCGGAAACCAGATGGTCTTTATCGTAACAAGCATACATTCTGGTGTGGACCAGCCGTTTCATTGGCTGTCACAATACAACAACCGGCGACCCAGCCCAGTACCCTCATTTCCCAATTCGCCTTCGCCGCCGCATCCCGGACCAATTAGCCTATCATGTCGTCTTGCATGTTTGAGGGCTGCTTTCGACAACGTCTGCTCAACTCGACCAAGTGCGAGTTCCACAAGAGCCGTAGCCTCTGCAAGGTGCCTTTCTGTCGCAACCAAGTGTATGCTCGTCAGCTTTGCGTCGCGCACGGCGGCCGCCGGCCTTGCATCCATGCGGGCTGCTCGGCAAATGCTCGCATTGGCTCGTACTGCTGCCGCCATGGGCCCAAATCGGGGAAGAAGCTTTGTCGCGAGCCTGGGTGTGCCAACATCCAGCACACTAAAGGCAAGTGCATTCGCCACGGCGGCGGGCGGCGCTGCTGCAAGGACCATTGTGAAACCCATGCGCGTGCCGGTGGGTTTTGCTGGCGCCACCGCACGCCCGGCATGGCAAAAGTCAGCACTCCCGAGACCTCGCCAACGCGGTCGCCCGTGGAGTATGCATGCACCTATAGTACGCTCGAAGCCATCGATTGCTCGATTCTAATGACGCTCCTCGCGGAGACCGACGATGCAGCCTTCCAAAGTGATCCAATGCTGGAAGCCTACTTTGAGCCATTGCATGAAGTTCAACTTTAGTGAGCGACAACAACTATTTCCAGTTGACAACATGTTTCTATGTTTTGTTTGTACTATTTCGTGTTACTCTTCATTGCAGGGCGTTCCTGAGGTCGAATATCTCCTGTGCCTTGCCGTCATTGGTGGTGTACCGCCGCCTGCTGGTGCTTGGTGTCAACTTTGCCGTTTGCTTTCTCTGCAACCTCTACAACCGCTTTCACGCACTCGCCGCTACCCAACCTGCTGACGCTGCAGCTCGTTCAAACTTCACAGCCGACCAAGGCGCTTGGCATCCTCGTAGCTCCGAACCTGCCGCGCAGCGCACGCTCGACTTCGCACTTCGTCGCGTTTGCGACCGACTGCGCCTGACAAGTTGACGACCTTGGCCGGCAAGGCCATGATACTGCAAGCAGTCTGTCTACCGGTACTCCGATACCAGCTTGCGTGGGTCGCGCCGGACAGCGAGACGGCCGACTGCATGATAAAAAGATCCTCCAGCTCATCAACGGCGAGCCGCCGGTCATCGGCGAGGGTGTACAAGGACACTGGCTGCTCTACCAAAGCATCGTCTTCGCGCCGAAATATCACGCCGGCCTCGGCTTCGGCCTCAAGCCCGTTCTTCACGTGGTCCGTGCGACGCCGCGGCCACTCGCTCCGGTTCTTGCAAGCCGTGCTTCGACGTCCCCGGACCCAGCCTGGTCGTCGCCAAGTATAGCCGTCATCGCCAACGCCTACGCGCCGTGGGGTTTGTCGACCTCGCATTTGCCGACCTCTCCTTTGCCGACCTCGCCTTTGCCGACCCGACGCTCCCCAGGATATGGCGGCTGCTCACGTCATCGGCAGTACCCAACCGGTTCCAGTTCATGCTCACCTACTGGTTCGACATGCGCGTGGGGCCCAGCACGCTCCAGGCGCCGTCGCCGCTGGTCCACGCACAATCGCTCTAGTCCAACCAGTTTCTTCCTTTAGATAGAGGTAGTTTCGTAGAAAAGACCACACGATGGCACACTCGGTACAGACGAACGATGGCCACGATCGGGATCGATGCTCACAGACGCCCCGACGGAGACGCTCGCGACAAAAACTCAACGCCACATCCAAGCTGTGAACGACAAGTGCCGCAACTGAGCCCTCGGACCACACATGACGCCGAACGTCCAGTGGCTTGGCTGGCTTGCAACGACGGTCGACGCCTTCTAGTGTGGCCCGCTGCCAAGCTCGGCTCTTAAGCCGCCATGGCTGGTTCGCCTGCACAACGCGACAAAGCTGTTTACCCAAATGACACCGGCCGAAGCCCGCCGCAGCCGTGTCCCGCCAAGGACACACTTCCAGCTCCCGATCCGCCATTTGGACGTCGACGACGACTTTCACACAGCCGCTTTCAGCCGTCGCCTCCGCTGCCGCGCTCCGACTACCCGACGCCATCTTACCCTACCAAGCTGCCTCTTTTGCCCCGAGCACGAGACGTACCGCCACTTCATCGTAGACTGCGACTTCATCAAGGACGTGTGGAGCACTCTCCATGCGGTCATGGCCCCCTTGGGTGTTCAGCCTTGCCGACGACACTCTCAGGCTACCTCTACTCGACGCCGAAGACGGCCTCCGACATGCACCGAGCCGCGTTCCGCTACCTCTGGCCAGTGCTCCGCGCCTGCGTCTGGTTCAACGTCTGGCGCGTCCGCAACGATCGCGTCTTTCGCGCCGACCTCCCACTGCCAAGTCCATGGACGATTGCCGTCAAAGCGGCGCGTGTCGCTCAAATGCACTTGCACCACAGCCTCGTTCAAAATCCCGGACAGATAGCTCTCTGTCGCCTTCTCCGGCTCCTCGCTCAACACGAGTGGCCGCGCCAGCACCTTGCCCCGCGGATCGCGCTCCTGCCTCCGCCGGCCTAGATCAAGATGATATGATATGATATGGATTGAAATCTTTATACAGACTAAAGACTCCACCTACTAAAACTTACGTACTAGTTGTGTGTTGAACGTCGGCGGCCAAAAGCTCTTCAACGCGCAGGAGTTCCTCGGCCGGCAGTACATCGTGCCGTCCGTCGTCGGGATGCGCGTACGAGGTGCAGTCGTCGGGTGCGAGCTTGGACAAATGGTCCGTGGCTTGGTTGAACTCGCGAGGGTGGTGTTCCCATGTGCACGTAAAACATGCCGCGAGCTCCCGCGCCTGGACATGCAGCTTCTGCAAACGGGCCTCTTGGACCCGGTAGATGCCCTTCATCTGCTGCATCAGCAGCATGCTGTCGCCGCGCACCGTGAGATGCGTCACTGCCAGTCGCTGAGCTAACTGAAGGGCCGTGAGGCCTCGTTGTTCGTTGTCGCGGTATCAAGGTAGTTGGTTTGGTACACCGCGCTCTGGGGCGGCTCGGTCAAAAAGACGAGCGAGCCACTACCGCCACAATGCGGGTCTTTCCGAGCCGCGCCATCAAAGTACGCGACCCCCGCAAGCGAGGTCATGTGGCGCACCGGGTCGAGGACAGCGCACTCGCCGTGTTGCTGCACGAGCGACTCGAAGACACGAGCTCGGAGTGCGT